CCCCCCCCCCCCCCCCCCCCCCCCCCGCCCAAATCACCCCCCCGTCCCCAGCGGGCCCAGATTCCGATTAGGCCAGTTGTTATGGAGAAACTCGCCGATTTGGAACCCCGATATTACGCCATTTACATCTGTTTGTGGTACTTTGGATATGTGTCCGATCTACATGCGCTGTATGTGCCTGATGGGGTTACGTGGATGGGTATGAAGTATATGGCGGGTAGGAGAAGACCCCTGGTGCGAGAGAGAGAAAGAACCCACGAGCTTACTTGCCTGAGGGGCTTACGTGTCGCATAGATAATATATGGTCCTTTTCTTGACTTGCTGCTCTTGGGATAACATAGTACCCAGTCTCAACACTTACAAACCGCTGAGGGCGGCAGTGCCACAAACACGATAACATAGTACCCAGTCTCAACACTACAGACAACTGAGGGCGGCAGTGCCACAAACACGATATCCCAAGAGCAGCAAGTCAAGAAAAGGGCCATGTATTACTTGTCTGAAACGCAAGCCCCTCAGGCAAGTAAGCTCGTGGGTTCTTTCTCTCTCTCGCACCAGGGGTCTTCTCCTACCCGCCATATACTTCATACCCACCCACGTAACCCTCATCAGGCGCATACAGCGCATGTAGATCGGACACATATCCAAAGTACCACAAACATCCAACGCTTTTTCTGATGTAACACGAATAATTGTTGGGTGCTTTTCCGAGGATTACTCTTTTGTGTCAACGGTTTGAGATTATGCTCAGGGGTGAATGGATTGGATTCGTGAATAAAGTGATGGAGACGCTTTGTGTTAAATGCGTGGTCAGTTTTTGTAGAGGATGATTCTCAAGTGGTTATTTGCGTTTGATTTTGCATTGGTTGGAAGATCGTATGGCATATCAAGTAGGGGGGCTGTTTGTGGTACTTTGGATATGTGTCCGATCTACACACGCTGTATGCGCCTGATGGGGTTACGTGGATGGGTATGAAGTATATGGGGGGTAGGAGAAGACCCCTGGTGCGAGAGAGAGAAAGAACCCACGAGCTTACTTGCCTGAGGGGCTTGCGTGTCGGATAGGTAATACATGGTCCTTTTCTTGACTTGCTGCTCTTGGGATAACATATAATAGTATCAAGTAACACTACAGACCACTGAGGGCGGCAGTGCCACAAATAACATCCAAACCCACATGAGGCCGCGGGAGTCTGCGCACTGTGTTGGAAAAACACACAAACGTGCTTTGGCACGTGAGTACTCGCGTCACAGAGACCCGTTTGAATCAAACCTTCGAGGCTTCGAGGCCGCCCAGTGCATTGCTGTGAGCCTCTTCGAGCCAAGTTTGGGGAGTTGGGG